GCTACATTTGCTATTGATTTTATCATTTTTTAAAGTCTGGTTTGTGGTAAAATTGTTCTTACCCTCTCGTATTTTCCTCTAAATTGAAATTGGTTATGTGCATATATTCTATTTTTTCATTAATTAAAAATATTTGATCATACCCGTAATTGTAATTTTATAATTTCAGCTACTTGTGACATTTAGTTTTGCCAAACAAGGCTATTTTAAACAGAAAGCTTTCATGAAACAGCTACGATCTTTTTCATCTGCGAGCTTTTCAGCTCAAAAAAGCTAACGGTTACTAAAAAGATAAAAAAAGATCTTTTCAGCTTGTCAAGCTAAACATAAATAATTGTATTAGCAGATGGGTATTAATAGAGAGTGATACGTTAAATAGATGAAATATTGCGTCTTCTACTGGTGGGCGTAGGTCAACTGGTAGCCAGGGAGTGACATAAGGGTTAGGTCCCGGGTTCGAATCCCGGCAACTGCGATGAGAGGTTACTATGCGAAAAAATGCATAGGACCTTTGCAAGTATCGGGGACAAAGTCACACTCTCTATCTGTCAGATTGTGATTATAGTCCAATTTATATCCTCCCAACGTACCGTTCAGTCGGTGTTGGGGCTCTCAGGGATGGGGTGTCATCTTTTTTTTAATATTGCGTCTTCTTCTAGACCTAGAGGCCTAGACTCTTTGTGAAAGAGGTATAGTCTTATCGTTTTAGAGACTCGAGACTATACAAAACCATACCCTTTATCAAAAACCAAAAAAAAAAAAAGGTAGGATTTAGTTTGTTTGTCAATTGGGTAAAGTGGTAAACCAATTATAGTACTACGTAGTATTTAAGTACTACTCCTTATCCTTACTACTGTCTTCGTAACACTCATATCTTCCTACTTTCCTTTTTTAGCTGTAACATTCATATCTTCCCATTTTTAAATCTTCATATCATACCCTCAATAATTTTAAAAATAATACACTATTACAACTACTTTTTTTGGATTTATCCTTCATTCCAGCACACTATTTCATTATCTTCCCATCATACCCTCAATAATTTATATCCCCTTTCACTATTCTTAACCTCATCTGTTTTTCAAATGGGAAGATATATCTGTTACGGAGGTAGTATTTGATAAGTGACAAAATGCTACCTACTTAAACATAACAGAACAAACTAGTAACTTTACTACTTTCATTTGTAAATCTAGAATAAGTAAAAGACACAATATATATTACTCCGAGGGGTCTGGGGGAGGGGGCATGGGGGGCCTGAAGTAATCAAGACTGAAACTCACTCCATTGAGTTTCAAACCCTTATGTGTCTAGCGGGTTTCGAATTCGAGACCTCTCACTAGGCACGATAACCGCAGAACCAGCTGCGCTGGAATGTTTGGTTACGATATACATATACTTCATATAACATATTTTTGTAGATAACAATCCATGTTTTCAATTAATTCAAGTGACAGTAAATATCTAAATTCTGAATGTGACGATTTTATCTTTCAAAGAGAGAATCAAAGAAAATAAGCATGAATCATGGATAAACATGACGAACTAGAACAAACTCAACACAGACATTATTTTATACTAGTACATGAGTATAACTTTCTGATTCGGAAAAAGTAGTGATGTCTAAATCTAAGGTCGTTTAACGAGAAAGTGTCAAATTTTGAATTTTTACAATTTTCTTGAAGAAGAGAATAGTACAACGTTTGACTATGTTGCTTACTTTTTTAGTATATTCCCTCCATCTCTTATAAGTTTGACAATTTTTTTTAATTGTTCTAATAATTTTGACAATTTATCTTTTAAATGATAGAAGTTATAGTTCTCGTTAATTCTATCTATTTTGCACAAATCTCAATCATATAATTTTTATTGTTTATTCTACGTGTCAATCCACTTTAAGAACGTAATAAGAGAAGAAAGGAGTATATAAAGTTAAAACATTATGTTGCCTAATAAGTCAATGGCTGTGGCCCGAGGGCACATATCCGTCGCCCATGTCCCCAGACTCACTATAAACAGAACGTAATAACTAGTTGAACTATCCGTCCTCCCTAACATTGAGTTGAAAAATAGAGGTGCAATTATTTGAAGAAAATAAAATTATGTGATTGATATTAAATTGATAGAATGTAACTAAAGTAAAAATAAATCATAACCACACAAATATGGTATGCAACAAATTGAGGGTGGCATGTTGGGACAAAGATAGATGGACGGCCAGTAGTCCCCAGTACTATTTTTTCTATTTCAGAACTAAGCACTCAGCAGTCATAGTTTTCATTTATATTATCAGGCTTCAGATAAATTAAATGACTAAATTATAAATTATTAAATTACTAAATTAATAAATTTTTAAGTCATATAATTATTTTTATAATTAAGTGTACTCTATCTTTTTTGAATCTTTCTGATTTGATCTGATCTGATCTGATCTGAATCTTTCTGGTCTTGTCTGATTTGAATATTTTTGAAATTATAACTACAATTTTTATAATTATAATTGTAATTATAAATATAATTTAAATATAATTATAATTATTGTCAAAATTATAAGAAAATTACAACTAAAATTAAACTTATAATAGGAATAATTATTATTATACCTATTACACTAATAATAATTATAGCTATAATTATAATTTTAATTATATGTTTAATTATATTTATTTCTTTAATTATAATTGTAATCATAATTAAATTATTTTTTTCTATAATTATAATTATAATTACTCTGTATGATAATATAACAACAACAACAAAAACAATGATAATAACAATAATAATCATAATATTAATAATCATAATCACAATCATAATAATAACAGTAATATAACAACAACAATAATAATAACAAGAATAACAATAATAACAAGAATAATAATACTTAATAATAATAATAATAATAAAAAATATTAATAATCATAATCACAATCATAATAATAACAATAATATAACAACAACAATAATAATAATTATAACAATTAACAATAATTAATATTAATACTACTTCCGTCCCAAATTGATTTGCAAATTTGACTTTTCTTGGTCATAACACTTTCATTTTTTTCGCTTAGTTAGGATGTCAATTTTTAATTATATTCTAATTTAAAGTTTACAACTTTGAAGAGATTTTAATGTAGTTTATGAATATATAAATTTTAATTATTAAAAATTGAATTAATTATTGATAGTGAGCATTGACTTTTATTATTGGTTGACTAAAAAACGTTGACTTTGCAAAACAATTTGGGACGGAGGAAGTAATAATAATAATAATAATAATAATAATAATCAATAATAATAATTATTCTTATTATTATAATTATTATAATAATAAAAGTGATAAATCATGTATGAACTTTTTTGATTTGATTTGAATGTTTCTGATCTGGTCTGATCTGATCTGAATTTTGTGATCTAACCTGAATGCTTCTGATCTGATTTGAATCTTACTGATCCGATCTGATGTGATTTTTTTTTATCTTAATTTTTTTGATCTGATCATATATGAATAAAATAAGAATAAGAAATACACTTTTGTTCCCCTAACTTTATCCCATTTTACTTTTTTTCGTTCATTCCATTAAATTTGTCTCATACCATATTTGGTAATATTTGGGTGATTACTATTCATTCTTACTTTATTCACATTTTATCAATGAGTTAATTGTCAAAATAGAACTAAAAGCTGGTCACTTTGCACAAATAGGACCAAAAAGTAAACTATGTTTTGATAGGACTAATTGTGTGTGTGTTGGACAAATATTTGTGGCAGATTCAATGGAAATTTGGCATTCTCCAAGAGTAATATGCATTTTTTTGGAATTTTCAGAAAATATGGTATTTTTACACCAATTGGAGGTGGTGGTGCAAGGAGGTAGTAAAAGCGGTGAGAAAGACATCCATATATTTTTTAAATTTTTTATGGAGTTTTACTATTTTTTTAATTTTTATTTTTTTAAAAAAATTATTAATTTTTTTATTTTATAAATATTCTATTAACTTTTACTCCCTCCGTCCCCCAATTAAGTTCCCGGTTTGACTTCACACATATTAAGAAAATAAATTTGACTTTACTGTGGAGTCCACTGTTTTGCACTGTTTGGACACTGTTTTGCATTGTTTGGACATTGGTTTGCACTGTTTGGACATTGTTTTGATATAGATAATTTGTCAAATAAGGAAAGTAAGGAAGTGTGAACTTAATTTATGGACTGTCCAAAAGGAAAGTGGCAACTTAATTGCGGGACGGAAGGAGTATTATTTTTCTACGATTTTTTTTTAATTTTTTTCGAATTTATTATGAATTAAACATTTAATTATGACTTTTGACTACCTTCTATTCATATTTAAAGGAGAGGTAAGAATGAAATGAAAAAATAGGTATGCTTCCAATAGGTGTAATATGGTCCTATTTTGGATTTTTTCCATAGTTTTAGTCCTACGGAGTAATTTCTATTTATCAATTCAATATCAACAACCCAATTCCATTTTTTCTTATAATTTGTTTCACATTCCTTTGTCCCAAACATAGTGGGATAGAGGTAGTAAATACACCCTCCGTTCTCCATAATTGTCCCATTTTTCCATTTTTGGATGTTCTGTATTATTGTTTTATAACATATTTGATAGTATTTGTGTGTTTCTAATTAATTCTTATTTTATTCTCACTTTATCGACTCATTATCAAATACATAATTTTACGTTTCTTGAAAATCATATCACTCTCTTAAGTCCGAATAAAAGAGGCACATAAGCGGTAATAAGAATCAGAATAAGGATGTTTTTACTTGGACTGTAATTCCTCCCAGACCATACCAGATCATACCAGACCAGACAAGATCAAACCAGACCAGACCAGACCAGACCACACTTGGATAGTTATAAAAATACAAAAAAAAACAGACAAGACCAAATCAGACCAGACCAGACCAGCAAATAATGCTTTTGAAGCCGTTACCACTTACCAGACGGCTCCTTCACTAACAAACGTGGATTGAGTCGACGAGTCGTTATCACCTGCATGCATGGCTGCACTCCACGCGTCAGTCGCTGTACCGGAATCCAAAACCACATAACAGCTTCTCCTCCCTCTAATTTACTTTCAATTCCGCCGTATAACGCAGATCCCCTTCCCAGCTCTGTCAAAGCAGTCTCAATCAAATCCAGAATTCGACGGCGGAGCTAGCGGCGTTTTGTACCTTGGTCTCTTACTCTCCCGGTGATGATTCAGGTTTTCTTTTCTCTCCATTTCTTGTAATTCAAATTCACTCGCTAGACGCCTCGGAAATGAACTTTTTTAGCTGCAACGTTGAGAATCGAGAATAGTACCGTTCAGATTGCACCATCCCTGAGATGAATTTGAAATGCTAACTTTGAAACAAAAACAGAAGGTAAGGTTTAGAAATGATGGGGTATGATTAGCCAAGATCTGTATATTTCCGTCAACATTGAGGAGAGAATCTTTAGAAATCGTAAATGATATAAATTGGGAGACTACAGATTGGGCAATAACTTATTCTGAATTCGTGCTCTTAAACTCAATTTAAGATGATTTTAATTGAGCTGAACCAGACTTAAATAGACCAAATGGAAGTCTACAATCAAACACATCCGACATGAACATACCATATTTTGGATAACCACTGTAGCTCAAAATTATTTGAAATTTGATACATCCAGACAACTATTGACATGCATCCTCGTTTGGAACATTACTACAGATATTACTATCCCTCTGTGTATGATTGAAAATACTCGTAGTTTTATAAATAACATGAGTGGCGACCTATATTTCATGTTTCTACTTTCTCTGTGTCTCAGTCTTTAGATCAAGACTGTATTTGGTGAAACCATTGTGAACTTAAATAAACTGCTTGAAGGAAACAGTTGCCGAATTATTGAATTGTGATGCACTAATGGCCTCATGGATTGTATTTTTCAGGTTTAGTTCAATAAGCTCAATACTGGACCAATCTAGTTCAGATGCCAGGCCCTGAGTTTCATTCCAGCTACAAAGATGATGGTGAAATATCAATTGATGGCAATTACTTGAGAGATACTGACTACTTGGGAGACGTAGCTAGCTTTTTCGCATGAAGTATGTATTTCCATGAGACTGACAAGGACATAATTTTCTTTCCTGCTTTAATATCAAGTGGGTGGGTATGTATGCCATCGGTCAAGCAAAATGAAAATTTTAGTGTAGTTGGGCAGAAAGGGAAGAATGGAACCATTTATCCCAAGTAATGCTGACTCTTCTCGCAGAGATAGGAGAATATGTAAGCCTAATCGCAGGTATATTGATGACTCATCAGATCTTAATTCAACAATTGTCAAGAGAAGGAAAGGGACTTCTACTTCTGTGTCAAGGAATAAGTGTCAAAGTGTCAAATATAATAAGAAACCAAATCCAGAATCTGTAGAACTAAAGTCTATTCCAAGGGATACTTTTGATGCTATACAAGTACCCTTTGGTCCACTTGTACCCGAAGAATGTGATAAGAAGATTAATTCTGATGTGGAAGTGAGGTTAACAGAGGTTTCTTGTCTTGGCCGCTATGAGCATGAAAGAAAGTATGCATCTAATGTGATGAAAGTGAAGTCAACTGAGATTTCTTGTCTTGGCCTCAGTGAGCAGCATTATAGGGAGTATGCATCGAATGTGAAGCAGGAAAAATTTAAACACTTATCATCTATTGACACTGATCTGTGTTATAAGAAGCATTCAACGAATGTAAAGAAGGCAAAGATGAACTATTTATCATCTTTTGGCTCTGGATTGTGTGATAAGAAGCATACAACCCATGTGAAGCTGGTAAAGCTGGACAACATCTCTTTTACTTCCAAAGAATGTTTTAAGAGGCATTCGCCCAATATGAATCAGGTATTGTTAGACACAAAATTCTTCTTGGTTTCTTCTGTAAGTTCACTGTTTTTAGAAGTTGTCTATTATTTGTTTTATGTCTTCAGTGGTTTGCATATTTAGTTACAGTACCAAGTATGTAAGCCTCAAGAGAGTGATCCAATTTTAAAAATAAGACTTGAAGCAAAAATAATTTTTGCTGAAGTCTATTCAGAAATTATTATGTTAATGAGTGGTCCTAATGGTGACTTTGCTTTACAACTTCATTAATTTCATATCTTTATGACGATAAATCATGTGGAAATCCTCATTTGAAATGGGGTCATGTACGACTAATAAATTATAAACGTGACATGAAATTCCTCTTTTTTCTAGGTTCTGAATTTTCATGAAGAAATGCCAATGGTTGCAACAGAATATGATGGTGCAATGACCGTGATATCTGATGGGGATAATGCTCGGAGGAAGCACCACAGGCTTTGGACTATGTCAGAAGTCATAAAGTTAGTTGACGGTGTTTCACAATGTGGAGTTGGAAAATGGAGTCAAATAAAGAGGCTCTACTTCTCGTCGTCCGACTATAGGACACCCGTAGATCTCAAGGCGAGAATCCCTTTATCAGCTGTAGTATAATAGTACGCCATCTGATCCTGTTTTCTGTCTAAGTTGACCAGATGACATGGTCCAAGAAAATGTCATCATCATTACCCCATTGCGGCAAAGGCTCCCAACTAATGTGGGGTAAGGGGTTGGATGTGCGCAACCTTACCCCTGTACTAAAGCACAAAGAGACTGTTTTCGGATGACCCATAGTGAGAATCGTGTCAAAAATTGCATGGACTCTTTGCTTCATAACAAAGAAGCACAGTCAGTTTAGTGAGTCATTTTGCTTTATTCCATCGTATTCCAAAGCCAAAAAATAGTGAGTCTTTGAAAATGGTCCAGAAAATGTATTGGAGAAAAAAATTTCAAACCATTTAATACTATTACTAGAGCACCCAAATTAAAAGATGCCCTGCACTTTGTGTTCTTCTTGGGAAAAATATGAGTTGAATAGTAAAAGTAGAATAAGGTTAAACAGGGAAACAAATTTTAATGTGCCTAGATTTGATAAATATGCATATCTAAAGGAAGTAAGGAACAAAAGGATTTTCGTCAAACTGGACGTATAAATAGGAAAAATGTACCCGCCAATATCCATCTTTCTTTTTTCACCTGGCCCACATCATATTTGGTAGTATTTATGTCGGCTCTAATTCATTCAACTTTATTCATACTATATGAATTCAATACCAACCAAATAATTCCATTTTTCTTAATCGCACAAGTACCTCATTTCCCAATCTTAAATCTTAGTGGGACGGAGGTAGCATTCAATTCGGGGTGGAGGAACTGGGAAGTTCTAAAGAACTGAAAAGTAATTGTGTCTTTATCTGCTTGCTTTTCCCCCCAATTTTAAAAGTTCTTTTCAGTTGAAATGATGTTAATGTTTTGCTAACAATCTTAATAGGACAAATGGAGGAATCTTTTAAAAGCAAGCCATCTTCAGGATCAGAGCAAGAAAGGGGTCAGTTATTTATGTTTTTTCACTTTTGTATTGCGGTTTATATGTTGTTTGCAATAGATGCTTCTCAATTTTCATTACATTCAAGTTTTCTGGTTAACATTGAGCCTGGTGTACAACTCTTAAAGGCATATGATATTTGCGGTACCTAGTTGCCTATAGATTATGAATTTGTGATAACTATTGGGAGACATAATTCACCTTTTGATGGCATGCATTCCTTCTGATGATATAATTTTAATTTTTTTCTCAATAAAACTTGAAATCTAGTTTTTCTCTTGTTTTTAAGTCCTACTCTGCCTACAATCCTATATGAACATTCTATTGTCCCTGATTCCTTGTTTCTGACTATAATTTCCCCTTTCAAACTTAATTGATTTTCTTCTTCTTACAGCAACTCTAGCTTGAGACTGTTTCACGGAGCTTGCTCTTGTGAAGGCTATCATTTAAAGCTCTAAACTAACTCATACTTTTGGCCATTTTAGGCAAAAAATGACTCACTCTGTCCTGTTATGATCTTTTCATCCCGACTTGGCACAACTATTTAGAAAGTGTTGTGGTGAGAAGAAACATCATATATCATCATCATTATACCAGTGCCGCAAAGGCTCCCACCTACGGTGGGGTCGGATGTACGCAGTCTTACCCCTGTACTAAAGCACAAAAAGACTATTTCCAGATGACCCAGTGTGAAAATTGCGTCCAAAATTGCATGGATTGAGTGTTGGTTCATAACAAAGAAGCGCAAACAGTTTAACACAAAATCCTTTCCTAAAAAGCAAGAGGAGATAATTTAAAGGTACCAGTAGAAAAAGGTTAGAATGATTGAAAGTTTAGAATAATTTAAAGGCACTAGTAGAAATGTTATTTTAAAAATGCTGTATCTTCTATATAATTTGAAGAGTGACAACTGACAAGCTCATGCCTTAGTTTCCTTGACTTCATGAGACGGTCATGCAAGTTTATGTGTTCCCTTTGAGGGACCTTTTTTTTTTGTGGTGACCAACATATAACAATTTTGAAACCATTTGTGTTCCTTTTAGTTTTTTTTTGTGTGGTGATATTTAATGGAACCATTAATGTGATTACATGCAGGACAAGGGAAAGCATAGCTTTTCCTGGCGCCCCTTACCAAAGTCCATCCTGAACCGAATTGAAGAACTGGCAGACATTTATCCATATCCAAGAAACTGGAAACCCAAGGCTTAAGAATGTGCGTCTATGTATAAATCCTCTTCTCACATTCTTTTAAACAAAGCTATCTGAGCAACATCAGTGACAACTGAAGGATGCACATAAAATTGGTAGGTGACTTCAAGGATGATTTTATATCGGCTGGTTCAGCCCCCTTAATCCTACGGTTTTCACAAACTGAAACAGCCTTTTGTCATCGTGAGTCGTGTGCATAAAATTCAAATTTCAAAAGCTTTGCATGTAGGGAATAGTGCAATTTGGTATTCTGCTCTTTCCAAATGTTGGTTTTTAGCATCTGAATCTTTACTCGTGTACATATTATGATTATTCATGCTTACTGAACTCTTTATATTCAACTTGCTATAGTTGCTATAAGAAGAAGAAAATCAATTAAGTTTTAAAGGGAAATCATAGCCAGAAACAAGGAATCAGGGATAATAGAATGTTCATATAGGATTGTAGGCAGAGTCCTAGCAGAGTAGGACTTCAAAACAAGAGAAAAACTAGACGTCATGTTTTACTGAAAAACCTAATTAAAATCACCAGAAGGAATGCATGCCATGAACATGTAAATTATATCTCCCAATAGTTATCATAATCTATAGGCAACTAGGTACCACAAAGATCATATGCCTTTAAGATGTATACCGGGCTCAATGTTAACTGGAAAACTTGAATGTAATGAAAATTGAGGCCTGACCCGACGATAAACCTTGTACCCATGCGGGTCCAACCCATCACACATTTTATGTTTCGTGGTATTTCAGTAAACAAGTCCAACTTTTGAGATACCTGTTAGTTTGTAGTATGAATGCAAGGGACTAAGCGAGAATTGGAAATATGTGAGAATTGTTATTGATACATTTTTTGATACATAGGTTGCCAGCATCTTATTTATAGCTTAGATAGATTATTCTAGACCTTTAGGAATATGTGAAGATTCTAATTAATACAAGAAGTCTAAGAGACTCGTCCCTTTGTATTCTGTATTGCTGGAAAAAATTAATTAATATTGTCTAGAACAATACTCCCTCCGTCCCAAAAACTTCTCACTTTTCTTAAATGGATGTCCCAAAATAAACTTCACACTTCTTCTCACTTTCTTATTTGGCAAATTTTCTACATCAAAACAGCACTAAACAATGTCAAACAGTGTTTACAGTGCTAAACAGTGTTCAAACATTGTTTAAACAGTGTTCAAACATCGTTGAAAACAGTAAAATTTACCCCCGGTAAGTTTATTTCCTTAATATGTGTGGAAAACGAAGTGTGAAGTTGTTTTTGGGACGGAGAGAGTATAAAATAATCAGGATGGTCTGAAAAAGTCTTGATAGAGTATATAAACTCGGACCCCCGGGTCTCACGACTATTGGGCCCGGACAACGGTCCACTCACGCTTATCGGATGTCATTTATATCATTTGTATCATTGTAGAGTTCATATATCATTTGTATGTACTAGATTAGTCTTTTATGCAGTTGGATCTATCGGGCCCATATTAGCGACCCGGCCCATTAATTTTTCCATTTTTAGTACTCGACTATAGTGCGAGAGACTTTTGGTACCTGACTTAAATTTTTTTCGTATTTAGTCCTTCGACTTTTGTAAAAGTGACACTTTTGGTCCGTCAACTATTGCAATAGTGACATTTTTAATCCTTCACTTATTGTGTCAAAATCATAGTAGAAGGACTAAAATTGTCAATTTGATAATACTCAAAGGACTAAATGTGGGAAAATTGAAAGTCGGGGACTAAAAGTGTCTCTCGCACATTAGTCGAGGACTAAAAATGGAAAAATTAAAAGTCGAGTACCAAAAGTGTCACTGACACAATAGTCGGGGGATCAAAAGTGGCAAAAACTCTTATACTCCCTTTGGGAGACTTGTAACCCTAGTTCTTAATTCATACTCCATATAAATATTCTACTATTCATCATCTTCTTCCCTCTCTTGAGCTCAATCTCTCCATTTAATTATATGCTTGGATCCCTATAATCCATCAATGGTGCTTTCATTGAGAGTTTGAGCACAATTTGAAAAGCCCTCCCAAAAAGTTCACAAATTCATCCAAAATACAAAGAAATGAGACAAAAATCAGTTTGAAAAAAAAACAGAAATCTGGAATTATCCAGATCTGGATCAATCCCGGCCAGATCTGAACGGAGAACCAGAGCAACATGCGGTCAGAGGGGCCAGATGCGACTCAGAGTCCGGCGACAAGCAGCTAGCTCCTCCTCCGAACAAGCTCCACCTCCTATCGTTCTTAGCTCGTTCATATGCCTCCTTCGCAGCTCGCTGTCTTTCTATGGCTTCATGAAGAATATCCGCCTTTAATGGCCTACTGAAGCTCCTGGGCGTAGAGATACAGGCCTTTGACCGAAAAGCATGCTGCCGCCTTGCACCTTATGTTCAGGTTCGTTGGAAGTCACCGAGCGCATTTCCAGACCTCGTCGTTGCTCGCATCGGTCACAACGTCGCCGGGTCAAGGGTGCAGCAGGAGGTGGCCGACCTAAAGTCTCTTCTTCACCACCTACGGAATCTGGAGAACGCGACCTACCCCAAACAACGACTGGTGACAGTATACTATTTCCTCCCCTCCGGTGATGCTGGCTGTCCTCAATATAGGCGACAACAACTCCCTCTCATGAAGCTCAGTCAGCAAGAATCTTGGGAATAAGGCGATGGATGACCTAGCTCTCAACTAGACAAACGCCGCTGCAGATGGGGCTCCATTTTTAGGCTTGGGCTACTTGAAGTCAATACTTGATTCTCACCAATGCAATGGGCCTCAATTCCATCAATATATCTCAGCCCAAATTCTAGAAACATATTTAAACAACCCATGGCAAAGCTAAGTGCTCTTTTTCTATTTTTTATATAATTTATCAAATCATAAATTGATCCAAAAAACAAAAAAAAAATCATAAATGAAATATTTTAATAATATAGTGTCTAGCGGATCCCAGCTACGAACTTGGGTGACAAGTTGAGCTAGATTATTAATTTATTATCATTATTTTTTAAATAGTGTGTATTTTTTGACATTGAAAAAACGAACTTATGAAATTCCGAGCACTCGCGTACACCGGGCTAGCACACACACTCGCGCCACCGGGTCACGTCAAACGAGTGTGGATAGTAAGCTCCCAATCCAAATGTTATCAAATGCTACTTTAGTTTCTATGTTTTGTATGAGTTATGTGTGTCTCTAGCTATTGGAAATGAATTGCAATCCCTCAGCGGTAGGTTCAGTCCTTTATGCGTGCCACGCTCCAACTAAGCATAGAAACCTAGCTTGAGCTGCAGCTTGGAAATTTGAGGCAACTTAATTTAGGCCCAAATCCAATAGCAAATTATAAGCTCAAGAATTTATAACAATTTTATTTGAATGCATAGGTGCAACTAAATGATGACATCATACCGGCCACTTGGCCATCTCTCTTGGTCATCTTTATTTGATGGCTTGGACTTCTTGTAGGCCTCTCGACCACATGTCTTGGTCACTTTATTTGATGACTTGGACATCATATTATGGACGGTCACTCGACCTATCTCTTAGTCATCTTTATTTGATGACTGGAACTAATTATCATGCTGAGCTACTCACATCTAGAGACTAGTTTCGGTCATCCCCTCAGCAGACGGACACCGTTGCAGCTCCACACTTAGGACGAAGGGCTCACCCCTTTTGTTTCATTTTGGGGGCATCCGGTGTACTCTTTTTCTCTCATTAGGATTTTTTCCTATTGGGTTTTTTCCTAATGAGGTTTTAACGAGGCATCTCCCCAACGTGAACAAAAGGTGTTGACCCTCGGCCCCTATTGAAGACATCACGAGACATGCACTACTATACTCCTCTTCACCTCACTACATTCACCTCAAGGAGTGGGGGATTGGAAGAGTGGGGGACTTCGCGTCTCAATTTTTTTCACGAAGTTTACTCACCAGACGACGACAGATCAGCACACAGTTCTATTCCCTTTCACCTCGAGTACTCTCGACTCAGGGAGTGGGAGACTCTTGATAGAGTATATAGACTCGTACCCCCGGGTCTCACGCTTATTGGGCCCGGACAGCGGCCCACTCACGCTTATCGGATGTCATTTATATCATTTGTATTATTGTAGAGTTCATATATCATTTGTATGTACTAGATTAGTCCTTTATGTAGTTGAGCCTATAGGGCTCATATTAGCGGCCCGACCCATTATTTGTCTATTTATACTCCCTTTGGGAGACTTGTAACTCTAATTCTTAATTCATACTCCATACAAATATTCTACTATTCATCATCTTCTTCCCGCTCTTGAGCTCAATCTCTCCATTTAATTATATGCTTGGATCCCTATAATCCATCAAGTACGTTGGGAAGGCATTACCATCGGCTTCGGCGGGCACACCCGAATCCGGGCCATCGGCCTCCTCAAAGGTGGTGATCATCTTCGTTCAAATATCAACATCATCCTCTGCATCCCCGTAAACGAAGTACCTCACGAAGCCCAGGGCGGCCATCTTATACTCCGTGATGTATTCCTTCACGCTCCTCGGCCCACCTTTCAGGAACGCCTCCACCTTGGCATCAATAAGCGCGCTCTTCGGCGCGTCATGAAGACTGAATCTCCCAGTATGGCCGAGGGAGGGGAACTTAGTACCCCCTTCGCCCAACAACACAAACACAAACTTACTCTTCCAACCATGGATGGACGTAGGAAGGTCAGTGAAGGTCCTCTTGTTCTTCACCTGTTGAAGGTTGGCATAGCCAGCACAATTTTTGTGGCTGCCTCGTCCAATCTAGTACAAGTTCATGAAGAGTGCCGTCGTCGGCTTAAAACCCAACTCATCGCAACGCACCAGGAACCCGATGATCAATGAGTAAGAATTCGGAGTCAACACAGCCGAAGGAAGCTCCACCATATCCAGATACTCCGTGATGAACGGATGAAGGGGGAACCTCGGCCCCTTAGCAAAGCTCATAGGGCACACTCCAAAATAACCCGGAGGAGGACGAAGTACGTGGTCTGTCGGCTTGGGGGCCCTGACCCTGCCAAACGGCCCCACGTACATCTGAGCAACCAAGTACTCAGCCGCGCTGCTCTCCGGCCTGATGATGAAGACGTTGGTGAGATCCAAGTAGGAGAAAGTCGGGCCTTTCTTCGGTCGGCGCCTTCTCTTCGGAGGGGTCCCCTTAACGGAAGAAACCGGCTTCGGGCAAGGAATGGCGGTCGAGGTAGATGCTTCGTCCATAGCGCGGGAGACCCCTACGTCCTCGCCCTCAGATGATGAGGCGGCCTCCTCGTCCGCACTTCTATCGTCCTCTGGGTCTCCTGACTTGAAGGAGCTCAAATCCTCCATCTCCTCGCAGAACT